TGCTGTTCCCAGCTCTGATGCAAATGAAAAAGAAAATTTGGAAGTAGGAAGTACTGATAAAAGCACTGAAGTAGTTTATAGCCGAGAGGAAAAGAAAGAAGAGAATGTGGAAATGTCTAGTTCACCCACGGAGGGCACAGAAGAAGAAAGTACTGTAGAGGTAATGGCCAGTCTTATCTCCTCAGAAGCTCCAGCTATGGTGAAAGAGGAAATTTTTCAGAAAATCTTGTCTGAAAAAGAGAAGTTACCAACAGTAAGCATGCTGGATTTTGCTGGCCAGTTAGCATATTATGCCTGTCACCAAATTTACGTAACACCAAAGGCTTTCTTTATCCTTGTGTTGGACATGACTAAGAGGTTTGAAGATGTTGTCAGTAAAGAGAAAGATAACCAAGAAGGATCAATCTTCTCTGTGTGGACTTACAAAGGTAAGACACTTGTAAAATGATAGATTTTTAGCTCCTCTGAGCTAAAGATTCAAAGAGCTAATGCTATTGCCATTGGTTCTGTGTGCGGCATGCATTGTACAGTGTGCATAAACCTTTTAGAATACTTGCCATAACTCAAGAATCCCTTAGTCAATTATTTTCAAATTTGTCACAAAATATCCTTGGCCTGAAAGCTCCCATCTTTAAAAAAAAAACATTGGGTCATGATCCTTAGACAAGGGGAGATAATTAGAAAAATATGAAGCAAAAAGTACTGATTACTCCAATGTTGAAGATTAAAATTTGCACATGGAATTAACCTCGGGCAAGCAGCATGGTCTCAAGGTCACTTCAACGTTGACAAAAAATAACATTAATTTTAATATGTTGATATTTGCTTACTATAAGGACTGCACAGAAAAAGAGGCTCACATGGAATTCATGTCATTATCTTATTATTTAAAAATGATACGAAAATCATGTAAAAAATTTTCATGCAATTTTCATGTGAAAAACTTTAAACGATATTCACGTAATTTTTTTGTAGAACTTTCATGTGAGGTTTTTTAATTTGAATAATAATTATGTGTCATGCGCTTTAAGTAAAATTCATATGAAAATTATGTAAAAATCACTTATAGTTTTCATATATAAATTTCAAATGTCTCGTTAGTCGTCTTTTTCATGCTAACAATTTGAATAAAATTTATGTGAGTCACTTTTGCATGTGATAGGATCATCAAATTTTGTCAGTTGATGCATCTAAGGACCTCATATCATGTATGACTCAAAAGTAGGTCAAGTTGACTTGCTATTTGAATATTGTGGCCATTCTTTTTCAAAATGATTTAGAGGCATATTTTGAATGTCGCCCGCGTGGCGCAGTGGTTAGAGCGTCTGCTCTAGAGTCGCGGAGTAAAGAGTCAATTTTTACGTCGAGGGTTCGAATCCCCTGTGGGACGTGGAGACCGGTCCTTCAGATGAGACCGTAAAAACCGAAACCCGTGTCGCAGTACGTGCGAAAAAGACCCCTCACTGCTCAAAGGCCCTGAGTGCCGGGCATAGATAAAAATTTGTAGCCCTCCACCGGCAAGTGGTTGCATCTCCATATGAGTGAGATATTCTCGAGAGGGACATTAAACAACATACAATCAATCAATCAATCATATTTTGAACAATTTCAGGCCTATGCTCATTAAACTTTTTCAATTGATGCGTCATAGGCAGGGTTGTGGATTACCACTCACTCACTTGCAAAAGCAGATAAAATTTACTGTTGGCGATTAGATTTTTTTAAAAAAGAACTTACGATGAAGATTAATTCTTTTTATAAATTCAATATATTATAAAAGGTTTCATCTTTTTAAAAGGAATGAAGTAACCTATTTTATACCCCCCCGCAAACGAAGTTTAGGGGGGGGGGGTATATTGGAATCACCATGTCCGTCTGTCCGTCTGTCTGTCTGTCTGTAGACAAGATTTTGTCCGGACCATTACTCAGAAACTATTGGAAGGATTTGTCTGAAAATTTGTACACATATTATTCACCATATGAAGTTGTGCATTTGATATTTTCATCTTGATTCGATTATTATTTTTAATTTTGCAGGTGTTTTTTTTTTTTCATTTTTATTTTGTGGTTTTGTCCGGATCGTTTCTCAAAAACTATTACAAGGATTAATCAGAAAATTTGTACACTTATTACCGTAAATCTGGAAATTTATACGTCGATTTATTTTTGCGAATTTTGGTCAAAAAGTTGTTGATTAATTTTTACGCTTCAAATTTTTGCGAATTGTCACTGGTGCTAAAAATAAATATCATTGTAGATTTTCAGATCAGGTTATGTTTCAAATAATATGCCCAGTTAGAATACCACCAATTTATTCACAACGTGGCAAGATATTGCAAAATCGTAGTTTTAAATCAATTATAACAAACATTTTAGAGGTTGTGTATGCCTTTTGACCTAAAGTATAATCCAAATGAAGAAAAAATATAACTTATTTTCTCAACGTTTCTTTTTTTTCTCACCTAAAATTTACACGCTGCATTTACATTTGGTACTATCTAATAAATGCACTGAGTTTGAGTTATCGCCCGTGTTGATACGCGGTTAGATAAAAGGACAGTTCTCTCTTTATTGGCAAATTAATTGATGAAAATAATTAAAAAGGGGCATACCGCCTCAGTGCTTGTCAAATCATCGGACGATATTGCATATAATGAGGGCAATTTACATGCATGGGTAATTAACTTGTAGTTATATAGTAGACTAGTGTAAACATGTTCCTTTTAAAAATGACCAGTGCTTTCCGACGCCTATTCACCGAGTTAAAAAAAAGACACAAGTCCTCAGAAAAAATATTCTTCACATATTGATTTATATTTAAGAAAAAATATTTTTGCGAATGCAATGCACGCGCGCAAATTTGCTAAAAATTTATCTACAGTAAAAATTTCCAGATTTACGGTATTCACCATATGAAGGTGTGCACCTGGAATTTTCAACTCTTTTTGTTATTTTTTTTTGCATTTTACAGGTTTTATTTTTTTTATTTTAATTGACTTGTTCATTTTGGCCTCTGTATAAGGTTTGAGATATAGAATCTAGAATATCTGTTCAAAAATACTACAGCTTAAAACTACTCATAAAAACTTTAAAAAAAGAAACACCATCAAGTGTTAAAAACAGTTTTTACATTGCACAGAAGATAATGTAATTTCATTTGTCTCTTGGGAATAATGACTGGACATGCATCCAGTTAAAAATAAATTAATGAGTTTGGTGTTGGAAGTTGTTAAGGCATATCTCTTATCAAGCGTGTGTGTGTTATTTAATCTCCAGGGAATAAGGCACAAGAATTTGAAAGATCTCTCTTCTCTTATTCCATAATAAATTATTGTAATTTATTGTCTGTCAAAGAACTTCATTACTGGATGACCAGCTCTTTATTTTCAAAATGCACTTCAAATTGATATATCAAGATTAATTTGATTTTGTGTAATGGTTTTTTTTTTCAACATTCAGTTTGCAGAGTGACATAACACATATTTGCAATTTATTTTTTTAAATTAGAAATAAAAAAAAATTAAATGAAAAAAAAAAAAAAATGTTACTATGGAATTACAATGTATTACATGTAGTATTGATGTTTCATTTGTTTGCACCTTTGTTTCATTCATTAAGAGACATGATGACGATTATTTTCACTGCAAATTTTTGTAAGTACATGTATATAAATTGTGAACACCTCTAGATCCATTAAGTATTTTTGAAATGGCACCTTCTCTGAAAAACCCAGCGGGGGGTATTTGTCCCTATTGGACAGTTCTAGTTAACATTGGCAATTTTAAACAGAATCATTAATTTTGCGTATTTTTTTTATTAATATGAAGTTTTTTGTGTCTTAGTCACAAATTCTTTTGTAAAACAGACTACTGGTTGCCCACATGACATGGAATTTTTTCACTGGAACATAATCACATTTCAGTTTTACTTTGTATGAACTTTCAGTTTCTTAAAACAAACGCTCTATTAACCTTGATTATTTGTATGGCATGCAAGCATATTCGTCAAACATGTACGTGACTTAGATGAAACATGGCAATTTATCGAAGCGGTGATAGGGAAAAGACCACTTATTATTTTCCCATAGAACTCTATACAAACCTTTGGCCCTCTCAGTACTTTGCTATGAGAGTTTCAGAAAAATCCTTTGCATCATTTAAAACTTCCCTCTAAGCCCTAATAAAAATAATGTATTGTCCCATGGCATTTATAGGTCAACATTGCAGTTATTTTCAACTTATAGTGGTCAGCAGTAAATAACATGCTACATCAAAAATCATTAAACTCTACAGCTATTGTATATAAAATATACTACATGTATAATTATTATAATATATGTATGTGATCATGTGGTAGTGTTAGATACATGTACATGGCTTCCTGCTATCTTGTTCTAGTGATTTAACCCTTAAGATAAATTGGAAAAGCAGAGGACTGAGTGTCAAACCATCATGATATATATTTATTTTCTCCAAATCAGTTGTCGTAGAAATCAAATGCCGTAGTTACTGAAGGAAGATATGTAAAATTATGTTTAAAATTCAACTACCACATATCCTACAGTTCATATTATTTTTCAAATAATTTTATGTTTTGGAAATAATTATTTCATAAATTCTCTCTGTTAGTCAAAGAGTAGAGTAAAAACAAAAAAAAGTAATGAATGAAGTTCTGATTCAACATTTTTTTTTCATGGTTGTAAGTAAAAGACTGTAGATCTTACCCCTATCAGACAAACCTGTTTGTTTTTAGCTTTACTGATCAGACACCGAAAAAGATTATGCAAAAGTAAGGTATCCGTCCATCTGTCCGTCTGTTGTCTAGTTAGTTGTCTGTCCGTCTGTAAAAACATTTTCAAAATGCTACTCCTCCCTGAGGTTTGGCTGATTACAGTATAACTTGGAACACCTGGACTGCACTATGATACATAATTCTTTATATGGGATTTTGATTTCAATGAATAGTGTTGCAATGTTTATTAAAGATAGAAATTTCTGTGAAATATTTTTAAAATGCTACTCCTCCTACAATTTTGGTCTGATTTCAATGTAACATTGCACACATATAGACAAAACACTTAGAAATATTCATTATATATATTTTTATTGCAAGAATTTAAAACCAAGTGCTACTTTTCTTTTCCGTTGCTATAAATACTAATCAGTATAGCTACAGTCTCATTATAGAGTCTAGTTTTATTATTATGCTTTATTTGATCCTTTAGTCTTGCATACCTTTGTTTCTTTTAGACTACTTGAAGTTTTGGATAACCTCAATCAAGACATTTGGAGGCAAAAAGGCACCACTGTTTCTTGTTGTCACACACACGGAGAAAAAATCTAAAGATGTAAGTATTCTGGCTTGTAAAAATGAGAATTATAAAGGAATAAACAGATCTCCAACCTATCGTAAGAATGCACAATTAAAGCCATACTGTAGATAACATAATTTTCACAACACCTTATTTTCGTGAGACAGTATTCAACTTTTGATCAGCAAAATAAAATTTTCATGAATTGTGGTTATTGCTGTATATAATCTTAAGAAATGCTATTATACACGAGAATTAATTTTTTGCAAGCACACTGTCTCTCTTAATTACGCGAAATAAAGTTCTCGCGAATAAAAAGTGATTTACAGTACTACTTAAGAAATACAAATTAAAACAAGAAAAATGTATGGCCTATATTGAAGGTTATAGAATTGGGCTACAAATCTTTACAAAAGGAATTGGTTTCCATTTATATCAATGACTATAGGCAAAATAGGTATAATAATTCATGTCTTTTACTGTAGAGGTACTTTTTTCCACGGGGGCATAATTCCACGGAATCTTAAGTTCTGTTTAACTGCGAGTAGAAAATTACTCAGATTTCCTAGACTGTCACTTAATGCCTAACATTTATAAAAAGTACGCTTGGACAAATTTTCCACGAAAATTTGTGAACGCATAGTGTTACATGTAATTAATACCAAGTTATGTGAAAAATGTACTTCTTCAGTATATTGATGGCTTACCTGAGCTGAAAACTGAAGTGAGCTTTATGGATCACCCAAAACCTGAGAATTTTCATTGGTCTATATTGTTATTGGTAAGAATAACCCTAAATGCCAGCAAAGATCAATCACACAGTTTAAACTTAACAATAATTTATTTACAGTAATATACAAATCATTAAGTACAAACATAGCAAAAATCTAAAAATACATACATCAGAGTGTCCGTTGCTGCACACAATGTCCCAGTGAAATTATATCCCAGTAATACCTCAATGATGCTTCTACGACAGTGGTATCTATGCATCGAATTGACAGGATATTTATACAGTAATATAAATCTAGAATATTCTAGAAGTTGTAAGTACATGATAATCCTGGAAAGTTCTGGACAGAATAAAGTTAAGAATGTTCTAGAAAAAATGACTAAACATATTGACCACTCTTGAACAGGTCGAGGAAACTATTTCTGTGACGTGGAATAAATTTACATGTTAAGTGGGGAACCAACGTGACTGACAAATTGACCAATCAGCTCAATGAGTTGCATTATGGGCTACTACAAAAATACCACACATCTGTTTTGAAGAAGCCAATATTTAAATCACTCTCGGAAAAACGTTATGCATTTTTACAAGCATTTTACCCACTTAATACGCTATGAATATCATTATCTACTAATTTCATGCTCACATTTATATACAAATGATTTACAATGATTAAAATTAGGGTTTTCTCCACTCCATTGTACAAATCCGTTTGTTGACAGTTTCCCCCCGTGCTGTGCTTTCAGTGAAAAGTCAATTTCACGTGACTATTCCTTGGTTAAAAAACAATCAACACTGAGGTGTGCTCATGTATTGACATTGTTTACAACGTATTCAACTTCGAAATACATGCTAGTCACGTTTTATGATCAATATGCAAATGGGTTTATATGACAGGTAAATTAAAAAAGTGCAACTTACCGGTAAGTGTTTTTTGTGTTTTTTCTTTGTTTATAAAATGATACTTTTAATTTCTAGTAACAAATAACTGAGCAACAACTAATTTAACCAGTTACATGGCAAATTAACGGGTGCTCGTTTAAACAACTCGAATCTTATTTACCTGTGAAGACTTTGTGAGCGGTATTTCAAAGTACAATTTAACAAGGAATACTGACTTTGTTTGTTAATATGAGCATGGAGAATCTTAATTAGTACGTAATCTTTGTATTTTTCACATTTCAAAAAAATGTTAGCTGACTTTCCTGAAGTCATTTGAAATCGCGTTCTAAATTTCCCTGACCCACGTGGTTGTAGTAAAAATAAACATGTAGTAGACTATAATGCTTTTCGGATCATTCTCTGGATCGGGGCATTGTTTGCTGTGAGCACCTCTGTGCGCAATCGCAACAATATCCATATAAGGTAGTTTCCTCGACCTGCTGAATGTTAGAGAAACTTAATGTTACTAATTATATACATAATGAAACAATACAAATACAACACATCTCACAACACCTCCCCCTTAAAAAGTTTGAATGTCAATGAAAACTTATAAAAGTTATGTACATTAATACAAAATCTAATTTGTTCATGATAATCTGGACAAGGCATCTGCAATAACATTGTCTTTGATATGCTTAATTGTTATGTTGTATTCTTGTAACAACAAACTCCATCTAGTCAGTCTTTGATTCTTGTTTGACAATTTATGCAAAAATGTCGGGGGGTTGTGATCTGTATATACAAGAATTGGATGCAGAGTAACATTCAGATAAACATCAAAATGCTGTAAGGCTAACAACAAAGCAAGGCATTCCTTTTCAATGGTGGAATACTTTTGTTGTCATT